AGTCAGATGGCAGCCCAACCAAATGGAAACGCAAGTTTCACCGTACGAAAATGAAGCCGTAGGCTTCAATGTCGATGTGGACAATGCCGATCAGTTAGAAGCAGAAAGGCACGTGAATGCAGCTGCAATAGCAGTAAACAGGGCCAGAAACTCAACAAACAGACCACTGCAGAACGAGAACCTTCGGAATGCTTCTGAACACTTGCAACAAGTACCTGGTGGAACGTTACATTTGGATGTTGCACAGGAGGCTATCAATGATGCAATGAATGCCACGACCGGAGATGCTGCCGTGCAACACATGGATGTTGCTCAGACACACATTCAGGAGGAGCCACGAAGGAGTGCAAGGACAAGGAGGCCAGTGGTCCGGGTGGCAAACGCCGTTTACCCACCACGGGGTGGCCGTGCGGCACAGAATATAAACATGTACCGTGACCCTCCGAGAAACAATCGGGCACGTGCCCACGTCCAGGCAGCCCTTGATGCGGTGGCAAACGGTCAAGGTAGGGCGATCGCAAATGCACACATCAAGCAGGCAGTCAACAATCTGCAACCTGATGCACCCAATGCCCGCCAAATTGCAGCCAGTGTGGTCGAGGCTAACAATGCAATCAATGCCCAAAGTGCGGCAGCTGCCGCTCAGCACGTAGCAAACGCTCAAGACCATTTGATGAATAATGCTGGCCCTTCCCAGCCCAACACAAGTGGCCAATGGACAAGTGCTAGAAGCAACTTTGGACCTCCCAGTGCAAGTCCCAGAACACCTTCGAACCACACCCTCATCACTTCAGATGGGCGGCCAACTACGTATGGCATCTTTAGAAGGACCAGGAACTCGAGTGGACGCTTGCAGCATCATAAATCAGTCTCGAAGGGTGATGGTGAATATGGGTGGAAGGCCTGCTCCAAAGAAGCATACAACAAGAGCACTACAGCAAAGAAGGTGAACCTGTCCTAATCTGCGTCAAGAAAGCACATGCTTTTCCCAACATATCTGAGAAGAATGGAGCTCCCAATCCTAGTGGTCAGGCCCAGTCCATCAGCATCAAAGGAGGCGGTTCTGACTGCCGCGATGGATCACTGGTTTGCACGAGCAGTCTCGGTGCTGGAAGCAGGTCCCTTGTCCGAACTTACAGGTATTATACGTGCTCAATGTGAACTCATGCTAGCTTGGAATGCTGTTCGCCCAATAAAGCAAGACATAACCGCAAAGCTGAGTTTGCCTTGCTTAGGCACTGTCAGGTGCTACCTTCAAAATGTGCAATAGCGGCCATATGGTTTGTGGGGCATCGACATCAACATCTGTCTGACACGCCTTCTTCAGAGGTGTCAAAGGCAATCTACTGCTCTGCTCTGCTCTCTTTCAGTCTCTCAAGCACTCCTTCTTGTGATGCGAGTGTTCACACCAGCACGCTGAGGATCAGACGATATACTTGAAAGTGGAAGCCCAGGAGTTGCAACATTTGGTGGCAGCCTGATTTCAAGCGCGTGTGGATCTTGCTGTAGCCTGCAAACATGTGAAAGGTGTCGTATGATCTGGTATGCAGGTTATCAAGCATGCATGTACAAGGGCCTGGAGCGTAGGTAATCAAGGGTACACCTTCGATTGATGAAATACACATACCTGGCATTGTCCAGCTTCTTCTGCAATTCCCGCATGTTGCGTTGGTGGCCATCTTCAATGCTGCGTGTCTCCTTATCATGTATTCTGTTGCGCTCGCGATTCAGCATGTCATCCCGCAACTCCCTGGCTTGGTGACGTGTCAGAGGGGGCGGCAGAGCAGCATCGCTATCCAAAAACTCTGTAAGCTGTTTCAGTGTGTACTCCTCCATTGCACTTGGGGCAGACAAATTCTTCATGGAGAACGCGCTCAACCGTTGTGTTGATTGGCGAGTACCTGCTCCTTCTCTGCTTACTCATACCCCAGCTGCCACTTTTGTTCCGCAAATCTGGACCGGGCGGACCGGGTGGACAGACTGTCAGCCCGCCTTCCTCGGGATAGCGTCCGAGGAAAACCCAACTCTCCGAAATTCGGCGACGAAGCGAAGGGCGGCCGCGCTTGTTGCTTTTGATGACGCAGTTCGCGTCGGCTGAGAGCAACACGGTGCCAATTGCGACGATAATAGGAAACGGCGACACGCTTCATAGACGACTTGACGGCAATCAATGGACGACAAACATCCTTTTTAGAGCGCAACCGGTGCCAGAATATCCAAAAGACGGATCTGCCTTCATGGTATGATTTTGTGCCAGACTCCTTTTCCCTAATCCAACCGCTGTAGCCCTCACTGCAAATGCTTGTGACTACAGCAAAGAGGTGAACGTGTCCTGATTACATCATCTGATACTGGTCGAGCTTCAAAACGTCAACATCTGTCTGACATACTCCGCCTTCTTCAGAGTGTCAAAGGCAGCACGCTTCCTACGGTTCTCAAACTTCCATAAGGGCTGCAAATTCTTGTAATGCCAACAGCAATAACTGTCAGTGACCTTGCTGAGGTCCCAGGATGCGCAGGGAATTGAGTGGTCAATCTCCCACAGAGTCCCGTAGTTGGACCAATGCATGCCCACCTCAAAACGAGACTCGAGGTATGTCCGCAAATAGTCTATATCACATGAAATGTATCTAACTGTGGACATAGTCTTCTTGAGGGTACCGGACTGGTGGGCTGCCAGAGCACTGTGTATACGCGTTCTCATGTTTGCGCGCAATGCATAGTTGATGTCTGTCACCCGGCGCTGCCTCTTCCATTCCCGGTGGTACTCATTGACCTTGTCACGGTTCTTCTCATTGTATGCAGTCCTGGCAGCAGCTTCGCGGGCCGGGTTGTCACGCCTCCACTGTTGCTTCCTCGCAATGTAGCTGTCACGATGCTCATCATAGTACACTTGCTGATAAGCTCGAAACTTAGCATTGTCTGTCTGCCACTCCTTCTGATACTGAGGGTTTTTCTCCCTCCACCTCTTCTGTGCAGCCAAGTTGGCAGCTTGATTGTCCAGATACTTCTTCCGGTTGCATTCCCGGCACATCATGCTCTCCAGCTTGTCTTTGTTGCGGTTGTAGGTGGCAAACTGATGCAAGGGTTGTGTGATGTTACAGCGCTTGCACACTTTGGTCGCCATGGTGCTGATAGTATGTCTTCGCTTTGCCCTAAGCCCTTACGAACGCAGCCCTTACTGCACATGCTCGTGCCTACCTCCTTAGCATCAATGGTCTCATACTGATGTGCAAGAAAGCTCATCAGAATTTAATCTCAGCACAATACAACCGCTCCCTAATGCAAATTTTCGTTCGTACATTGACAGCAAAAACCATAACCCTCGAAGTGGAGTCATCAGACACCATTGACACTGTCAAAGCCAAGATCCAGGACAAGGAGGGGATTCCCCCAGACCAGCAGCGCCTCATCTTCGCCGGTAAGCAGCTGGAGGACGGCCGCACGCTGGCTGATTACAACATCCAGAAAGAGTCTACTCTCCATTTGGTATTAAGACTCCGAGGAGGGCTCAGGTCGTGAACATCATGTCAAAGGAGAAGCATGAAACAGCATTTGTGGTTTGATGATTGAGAGCTTGAGCAGATGCACAGATACACAAGGGTTTGATACCCTCCCTACAATCAGAAACATTACAGTACTTACAATCTGTGTCTCTGCGCAAGCCTGCTGTTTTCCTCGGCCTCAAACACTCCTTCATGTACACTGGTAGTCTCGTGCCTGTACTTATTGTTATTTACATGCCTCACTCAACCCTCAGTTTACTGAGGTTACTGAGGACAGAGCCGTCCTATACGATGCTGTTGTCTCGGCACTTGCAAAGGTGTCATCATATGAGCTGTGCACAAAAACCTCCGGCAGCTTGCTTGGGGGGTTCACCATGCGGTTGATTGTGTGACCTAGCTGGAGGGCCAGTCGAAAGACCTCCTCAGCGTTCTCCATGCAGCAAGCATGGCCTGCCAAGTCCTCACGCCTCCCTGACCAAGTGCAGCCCACCAACTGTCCACTGACTTCAAAGCTGCGCGGGCAGCGCGTACTGCAGCAGACGAGCTCATGAAACCATTTCGTCTCCGCCAAGTACCTGCACAGTTATGACAAGGACAGGTCAGGCCTTTCAAAACACAAGTCATAATCATGGACTAACTCAACAGCCAGCTCACAGTCCCCTTGCAAGGCTGCCTGAGCTCCACACCATGACGTACCTCTCGTTGCAGCCGCCTCTTGGACACTTTATTGAGGTGGTCCTCTTGAGAACAGGCTTGTTATCCAAGGGGGGCACCAAAGTAGCCCCTGATGACGCGGATTCGCAAGAAGAGGCCAGGGTCAAGAGACTTGGGTACTCCATGCGTGGAAATTCGGGAAGTTCCGACAGGGTTTGAGGTATGACGGGCAGAGTACCTCGAGCCTTGCCTCAAGTATGGCCTTCACCCACACCAGGCTAATGGTAAGTCCGGACTGGCTCAGTCTGCTCTTACGGGAGTAACGAGTTAACTGGCGGGTATCTTCTGGTGATCGACGGTGACTTTGTTGAGATCTACGGTTCACCGACGGGTACACGCGAGTGTGCTTGGCTGAAGGACAGTGAATTAAGGTTCATACTTGGAGTACCTGGTGTCACCGAGTATCTCCGACCGGTTCACCTTCGGCGATCGACGGGTAATTTAGGGTGTGTCGCGGTGATGGACGGTGCATGCAGATGTAGGCTTACAAGCTGTAGCTTGTAAAGTTTAGCAGTTGGTGCAAAATAAGTTGCCTACCCCTCAATTCCTCGCCCTTTTTGCACGTCTCTCATTCCGTGCTTCATCTCCCTTCCGCCTCTTGTTTGCAGCCAGCAAAGAGTCCATCAACTCCCAGTAGCTCTCCCTGTAGTCCCACAGGAGCTCACTCAGACCCTTTGCCTCACGTGAGCCCTTTGGGTTGTAAGCAGGGACGTCAACCTTTGTGATTGCAAACCCGTCTGAGTCAATTTTGACATTGTTGGGGTACGGCGTGCGGTACCCATCGTTCATCATGTGCATGTGAGCCCCAGGGTACTCATACTCGTCTGCTGGGAACAACACCTCGCCAGCCACAGCAAGCTGCTCCACATCGCTCTGAGGCGGCCTTGAGCCGTCCACAATGATGCCCCTTATTGTCAGCAGGTAAGCTGCCTTGCCCGCAGCCTCCAACACCTTTGCCTCCCTCTCTACCTCCCTATTCCCGCTCTTCCCCAGCAGAAAGCCCATGTACCTCCCAATGACCGTCCCTGCTGGCATGGGGCGTGCGGCAAACAGCCCTAGCTCGTTTGCCTTTCCAATTCCCCTCAAAGCCTCCGACCGCCGGATAAGGACCCACGGCCAACAATGGTTTCCTTCGAGGAGGCAGACATCCACCTCTTTATTGGCCCCTACAACGTCGATGAACTCCATCCCTCTACTTCAAGGTAAGATTAGTTTGTGTCGCCTATCGAGTGCATGCAGAATTTTCTGTCATTCGGCACTGTCAGGATCTCCTTAAGCCTCTGGCGACGTAGTCAGGTTCTAGGCCTGAGACTGCATGGTGGGAGCTGGATTGCAAAGCTGATGTATCCGTCATTTGCCAAATGCGAGACTTGCAAGTCGTTGTCCTTGCAGAACTCGTCGACTGCACGCCGCACCCCAAAGGTGTACGGAAAGGGGCACTTTTTCGGATTCGCCCCGTAATCATGCCCGCAGATGAAACCCCCCGGCTTCACCCTAGTCAATGCCGCCGCCAGATCCTTCTTCACGTCCTCATAAGTGTGCGATCCGTCCAGGTACACGAGATCAAAGTACCACCTGTAGAATTGCAGCAGCCCCGGGGGGGACCACGCCCGATGAATGAATACCCTGTTGTCACCCTCGAACCGTCGCCGCACGTACTCAATTGCATCGTTTCCATGGCAAGTGCGGATAGAGTCACCGTCTCGATTGCCTGAGACCAGCTGCCCCTCAAACGGGTCGATGAGGTGCAGCTCCGCTGGCTCCAGAGACAGCATGAACGCGGAGAGGTCACCCAGAAACACGCCCACCTCTGCCATCCTCCATCCGGGCTCCTGCACAACTTCTGCTCGGAGCATGTTCTCCCTGCACTCGTGCTCGATCGGCGCCATGCTGTTACGCTCTACAACGAGATTGTGGACCCGCACAAAGCCGCGGGTTTCCTGTGAGCTCTCAGACTGCCGACCGTTTTGCCAGGCGTGAACGCAGCTCACTCATCATGTTTGCCGTCTGAGCTGTCATCCTTATGTTCTGCAAATGCCTTTCGAGATCTCGTTCGGTGAGAGGCTTTGTCTTGTTCACCTTTGGAATGATCTGGCCAACCACAGCCACAGGCAGCTTGAGCTTTTTGCGCTCCGCATCTGCCAGAGCAACTGCATCCATGACCCACTTGTACTTGTGACTGTAATTGCGCAGGATGTTGGCATTTGACAGGTTGCTGCCTGTGTATTCCCTTGCTACCTTGGCGAGAACCCGTGCATTATGTCCTGCGACTTTGCGTGCCCGCAGGTTGGTTTCGAACATGTTGGCCGCCCGCTGGCTGCCCGCTTTCCCGGGTGGTGGGGGGAGGGGTGGAGGGGGTGGGGGTGCACGGGCTGCCCTTCGATTCGCCGATGGTTTTGGCCGCGGTTTCCCCTTCAGCCAAACCATACAGTCATCGATCATGGCTCTCTGGTTTTGTATGATCTGATCTTGCATGGCAGCCATCTTCTTCAATTCTTGAACGACATGCACATACGTGCCAAGAGATCTTGTCAATTCCTCAATTTGCAACTTCAATTGGTCAATCTGCAAGTCTCTGGGGTCGTTCTCCAATGACATGCGCTGGAAGTCAAGTATCCAGCCATTGTTGCTCTTGTTCGCTTTCCGCGTCATTGTCTCATGTATTGCAAGATTTTCTGAGAACTTGGCGTGTTCGTCAAATGTTAGCTGCTTCAAGCCAATCTACACTCAGAGTATGTACTGGAGATGGGCGGGAGGGAGTATGACCTGGGCGCCGCATGCTCTTGGCCGCAGCTGCTGGATCGATGTTGCAAACGGATTTCTGAGCAGGAAATTGTGCTGCCAGCAGTAGATTGTGACCCCACAGGCCCTCCTCGTGCAGCACCGCCCTGTTGCAGCTGAGACTACGCTGCACCTTGCGTTGGGGATTGGTGCCAGGAGCCTCGTTCCCATTTCAGCCGGAGTATCCTGATAATTAACATTGTAAAAGGAAGCTATCTTGTCGTTCAGCGCCCTTCGCAACTTTCCTGTCGGGTACGCGTCCGCAAGAACGTTGGCTGCCAGCCGCGGGTTCACAATCCCAAATCGCAGACAGCACAGGGCAACCATGTTACACAGAAGTTGACAGCACTTTCTTCTGTCAAGCTCAGTCCCTTCAGCTGGCCATCGATGTTGTATTGCTTTGTTGTTGCTGACCCACACCGCTTGCGCTCTTGGGGCTGTTGTGTATCCTGGTACAAGAGCTGGCCGGTCATAAAAGCGGTCAAAAGCCTTAGTTGCAGGATCGAAGAACCATTGTACACGCCGCTTCAAGTCAAAAAGGAGGAAGGTAGCATGGGCTCTATCACGTTTCCCAACCTCTTTGTAGCGCAGGTACAGGTACACGATTGCGGATCTAACACCCCGCTCCCCACGGCATGCCTGCAACTCTGCCACAGTCCCTGGAGGAAGCTGAAACGCATCCACTTGAGCATCTATTGAGTTGTTTGGGCCTCCACACCAAACGTCCATGGTCAGGTTCTCAGACCTTCTTTGGCAGACTGAATTCCACGGAGTGACAATCAGCCGGAAGAAGCGATGCCAGGCCTGCGTGTGATGAAAGTCGTCCCCCACATAGTCCGGGATATCGGTGAGGATCCCGTCCATGTATGTTCGAAACGCAGCCTTCAAGTCGTTCATACACCCAGCGGCAACCGCTGTGGCCATGAGTGGTTATACAGATAGGGGAGAAATAAGTGGTAATCACTGTTGCATGTACAGTGAGCAATGTTGTTAACTTGTCCATGCCATCATAACATAATCATGTCTTGTAAGTCACAGCAGACTTGCGCATAAACACGCATGGCGAGCAATTTTCAAAAGTATCTGAAGATTTTGGAGGCCCCTTTTTTGACTATAGGGAGGGGGTACGAATCCTCTGCTCCTCCGTGTTTATGCGCAATCATGAGGGGCATGGGTGATAGAGCACACAGTGCAAATACCGACTCAAGCCAAGCATACCGCCGAGAACAAGATAAGATAGTGTAAGAGACAGCTGACTTGCGCATAAACACGGATGGCGAGCAATTTTCAAAAGTATCTGAAGATTTTGGACCCCCCTTTTTCGCTATAGGGAGGGGGTACGAATCCTCTGTTCCTCCGTGTTTATGCGCAATCATGAGGGGCATGGGTGATAGAGCACACAGTGCAAACACCGGCTCAGACCAAACATACCGCCAAGAACAAGATAAGACATTGTAAGAGACAGCTGACTTGCGCATGAACACGGATGGCGAGCAATTTTCAAAAGTATCTGAGGATTTTGGACCCCCCTTTTTCGCTATAGGGAGAGGGTACGAATCTCTCTGTTCCTCCGTGTTTATGCA